GAATGAAAATTATTAAAACTTGTGATGGTATATTTCTTGATCAGTCACATTATATTGAGAAAATTTTGAGAAAATATAATTTTTATAAGTGCAAGTATGTTCTTACTCCTTTCGATCCTCATGTGCGTTTATTTCCTATTGAAAATGATGAGGATGTAATTAATCAAAAGGAATATGCTAGTATGATTGGTAGCTTGCGTTAGGAGACTGACTGTACTAGACCTAACATTTCCTATGCAGTTGGAGTACTTAGCAGGTTTACTAGCAAGCTGGGCAGTGATCACTGGCTAGCCATTAAGCGTATTATGAAATACTTATCTGGTACCATAAAATATGACTTGTTTTATAATAAGTATCCTGCAATACTTGAAGGTTACAATGATGTCGATTAGAATACCCTGTCAGGTGATTCATTATCAACTACTGGTTACTTATTTACATTGGGAGGTGGTGCTATAAGTTGGAAATCGAAAAAATAAACCATTATTGCTAATTCAACAATGGAGGCTAAGCTTATTGCTTTAGCTACAGCCAGTAAAGAAACAAATTGGTTAAGAGATTTGTTAAATGAAATCTCTTGTTGGGAAAAACCGATTCCACCTATATTGATTCATTATGATAGCACTGCAGCAATTGGTCAAGTTAATAACCGTTATTATAACGATAAATCCAGACCTATCAGAAGGAAACACAGTACTGTGAGATCTTATATGAATAATGGCATCATAAATGTGGATTATATTAAATCTGGTGATAATCTTGCAGATCCATCAACTAAAGCCTTAGCAAGAGATAGAGTCTGGAATACATCGAGGGGGATGGGATTGAAGTCCATTGAATATAGCAGGAGCCATGTATGAAAATACTCAACCCAAGGACCAGAGATCCTGTAACTGGGTTCAATGAGAAAAACGATCATATGATGGCCCTGAGAAATGCACTAAATTACTTTTTACACATCCCTATGATATAAGTGCATTTATCCTGTAACGTTGTAGAGGTTGAGTTATTAAAAAAAACTCTTAATAAATTTCTGTAGCTCTTATTGAGTGGGGTGTCATAGTTACAGGAGCACCCTTGACATAATTCACCTATGTGAGTGTGGTAGTGGGGCTGCTACCTATGAAATTTGGGCTAATTCTCAAACATACTCATGAATCTTGGGATCGTACAAGGTCGTAATGTGTTAGTTTTTAAAGCTTATGTGAACACCTAGAATATTATGTGTGCAATAATTATTTATTTCCCTTAAGCAGTCATAGTTCAATGCTGAGCATACTATTGGCTCTGGAGTAGATATTATTGTTTCACTAATGGAGGTTCAATACAGAGCACACCTACCATAATGCATAATATCCTTATTTGCCTAATAATCCCAGTTTTTGTTACTTATAATATTAAAATAGGTGGGGGAATGTTAGCAGATATTTTAATATTATAATGTGTTATTGGTTTGATTTGTTTTCTTTTCCTCGAAGAATCCTTCAAGTCTTCTTTTCTAAGTCTTCGCCAAGTCAAGTCTTGTCTTCATCCTATTCTTATCCATCAAGTCTCCATCCTATTCTTATCCATCAAGTCTCCAAATCTTCCAAGGAAATTGTCCACCAATTTCCTTTTCTTTTCTTATCCACCAAGAATAACCCTCCAAGCTTTCTCTCCTATATATATTGAGTTATCTTCTTACCTTGGTAGAGTGAAGAAGTTTTGGTTGCTTTATTATGTCTTGTGTGAGATTATCAGGCAAATAAAAAAGAATGTATGTGATAAAGTTTTAGGTTCAACCAATTGTGCAGTATTGGTGTGTGATAAAGTTTTGGGTTCAACCAATTGTGCAGTATTGGTGAACCATATAACTTAGTCAGTGCAATATCCTGTGGGGACAAGTCAAGGTTTTTTCTACTGCACCGGTGTGAGACTTTGCCTAACCGCAAAAGGCTTGAATCTCTTTAAAGAGAGCGAATTTCCTGTGGCTCAGCACTTACAATAGTTATTGTAATTTTTACTATTTGTATTTTCTGATATTTTATTTATAATTATCACCAACAATATATAATGATTCAAAAACAAATAAATTTTATCCTAGTCAATGGCATCATGGAAAAACTATTACAATGAAGAAAGGAATAACACCAGAAAATGTGAGGAATTCAATGAGACCAAAGAGTTACGTCACATAAAGTACAGCAACAATATTTAGCTTTATCATGTGAGAGAATTCATATCTACTCAATCTGCTATGCTAAAGTGTGATTAACATGCAAATGAGCGTACACACAATGACAATCCTGGAGAGTTCCGCTCAATATTCCTCAGCAGTTGCCAACAGAGGCTTCAATTAGTAGGAATACGATCAAGAAACCTGGTTTGTTTCTTATTTTTTGGTTGATTTTTTTGTTCCTTCACTTTTTTAAGACCAAACTGATAAAATTATTTCAGCGATTACAATTTTTTTTTGTCCTTTTTTGTGTTGCATTTTTCTTTTAAAGGAGAACTGTATGCTGACACCCTAAATTTATCAGTGATATGATCGAAAGTGGGCATAAATGTCTGACCGGATGGAATGGATAAGGGAATATCGGATTTGAATCTTGAAATTGTAAATCTTGCGTTTGTTTTTTTATAGAATTAAATGTCTGAAAATAACTATTTTTAGTAAATTTAATTTTGATTGGACGGACTGAATATAATAAATGAGCCAAAAACTACTTTACCCTTTTTCAATTGTTTATTAAGCAATAACAATATTAAGCATCTTTAATATTTTAATTTTTTTGCTAAATTAAATAAAAACTTATTTTATTTTATTTTGTACACAATTAAATAAATTTATTTTTTTTTTAAATCAATAAATAAAATATCAATAGGAATATATATTATTTTTTAATTAAAATTTTAAATAATTTTTTTAAAAAAAATAATAATAATTAAACAATGAAATTAAATAAAACATCTATTAAAATTTAAATAATGAAATTAAATAAAATATAATCAAAATTTTAAAATAAAACATCAATAAAAAATATTTTAAAAAATTAAATAAATAAAATATCAATAAAAATTAAATAAAATTAAATTTTATTTTATTTTATTTTTTACACAATTAAATAAATTTATTTTTTTAAAATAAAATAAATAAATATCAATAAAAATATATATTATTTTTTTAATTAAAATTTTAAATAAATTTGTTTTTAAAAATAATAATAATTAAACAATGAAATTAAATAAAACATCTACTAAAATTTAAATAAAATATAAAAAAATTTAAAATAAAACATCAATAAAATATCTATAAAAAATTATTTTTAAAAAAATTAAATAAATATAACATCAATAAAAATTTAAATAAAATTATTTTATTTTTAAATTGAAACATTTAAATTTTATTAAATATAATAAATAATTAAATAATAGAGAATCAAAATGATTATTTTACCACCTAATCCTAACCGTAAATAATCTCTCAAAAATTGTCCCACACTGCTTAGAATACAATAGTCCCCATATGGACAATAAAGAATTCAGCCAAATTCCATATCCGACATACTAAAAAAAACAAACGGCAAATTAAATACTTGTCTCTAAATTACAATCTACATAGTAAATAATCCTCCCTCATCCCCCAATCAAACACACAAACACATGCAAATAGTCTACAAAGATCTTTGAAATAAATTCCATAGCTATCACAAGCATAATTCCTTTTAAGAAATTTCTCTTAACCTAAAGTATTGAATACATATTCAACTTAATCTTATTTGAGGAATTATACATTATTTTCTATACCTTAAGAATGCTACATTTTTGCCTCCGTTTGGGAAGTAGGTTGACTTTTTGACTTTTTGATTCTTTTAACTATTTTAACCTGGGCTAAAAAGTTTAATTTAGAAAAAACTTTTTGACTTTTTTGACTTTTTTTGTGAGAGAAGAATGTAATGATTATGGGTTAGATGTGATATTTTGTTTTTTGTGGCTAAAATAACTTATTTTGTCTTTTGTGGCTAAAATAATCAAAAAAAACCCCGTTTAGCTCTTGCCAAACGGAGCCTTTATGTATTTGGGGGTGACCAATAAGCTTTATCCAAGTATATGATATATGGGCCTCTTTAAATCTATCCAAATCAAAATGTAGAAATAAAAAAATAGTCCAAGATATATTGGTACATTCCACATGAGCCTTGCTTGATAGTTGCAGAGTGCTGCTCACAACATGTGCAATGTCCCTGCGAGCTGTGAGTAGTATAACCCAATCAATTAGACAATCAATGGCTTCATATCTATATTGGAGCTTCAGGGCTAAGGTGAATGGGGATAGGCCCACCTGCAGCTTTTAATTCTTTAACTAATGGAAGGTTTGATCTCCAAATAGATGATTTACACCAGGATCAATCTGGACATTTGAACAATTGCATGGTCAATGAAAGGTTTGATCTACACGAATCATGCTAATACTAGAAGCTTGAGCAATTACCACAACTAGTTCAAACACGGACAAGGTAATAATCAAATCCACTATGCCTTAAGAATGATAAGAAAAGTAAAGAAATAAAGAGCACCAGATCAAAATAAACAATAAAACAAGATAGAGAGATAATTGTAGTAGTAAACTATAACAAAAACTTTAATTTCACACAAAATAAAAATTAAAAAAACAATATCAAATGTCAATTTCTCCTTAAAAAATACTCAAAAAAAAAAATGAAGAAAAACAAAAGAGGAGGAACCATCAGCAACCAAAAGTGTATCCCCAGAAGCTTTTTTGAAGCTGTACGGTCCGCATCATGGTTTCGATTTTACTGAAAAAACCGCATCACTTGGATCCTCCTCCTCCTCTTCCCTTACACATCTATGCAGATTAACATGCAAAATTTTAATTTTTATTATTCCAGAACAGCTCTCAAAGCCAAGCTCCATTACTAAAACTTAAAATTGACTTTTTTTTCTAAAAAAAAGAAACAAAGCAATAAATCAAAACAGATCAAGATTGAAGAAAACCGAAGGGGCTCAGATAAAAATGGGTATAAGAAGGTTTATCATCACTGATTAATAAATCAGAGTGGTGCACGACTTTTCCTCTTCATTGCCACCCCAAGAAATCAAAATCAAAATCAAAAGACTAAAAAATGTAACACAGAGAGAGAGAGAGAGAGACAGAGAGAGAGCTCCGTAGGGAAGAGAAGGGGTTGTACTGGTCTATATATAACGAAGAGGCGAACAAAGAGATCTCAAAACAACACAAAACCCTAATCTCTAACTATGATTCGTGATTTCGTTTTTGCCCTCGCAAAGTTTTCGTTATTCCCACTATACCCACCCACCCAGTTGACTTTTACGACGCCGTTTTATCTTTGTTCTTGTCTGCCACTGCCAGGCTGCCATCAGCTGATATATTATTGTTTAAATTTAATTTCAAAATTTTTAAAATATGTTTAAATTTAAAATAAAATAAAAGTACCTATTCAAATCGATCTTAAACCAGTTTCAATTGAGTTTGATTTTATTTTATTTTTTTTATACAATTCTACAATATATATATATATATATATAGCTATTAGATCAAATTCAAAAAATTAAAAAAAATGTTCAAATTTAACTTAGTTAAAAAATAAATAAATAAAAAATTACTTCATACTCCAATTAGAAAAGACACAAATTGCAAAAATCTTAGTTAAAAAATAAATAAATAAAAAATTACTTCATACTCCAATTAGAAAAGACACAAATTGCAAAAATACAATTTCACCTATTCCCAATAGCCTCTTTGAGAGTTTCTGAACATGACCTAAACTAGTTTAGAATTAATTTTTTTTATAAAATAGATAATGAAAGATGTATGATGATAAAAATTTTAAATTTGTCAGTTGCTCGCTTTTAACACAATCTATTCTAGTAAAGCGCTTTTAGGCCTCGTTTGTTTTGGGGTATGAAAAGGGAATTGGGATTAGGATAGTTGTGAGTCCCATTTCATGTGTTGTTTGTTTACATAGTTAAGGAAGGGACTGCTAAGTCGAAGGGCTTAACATAGGCCTTGCAGATGGGATTTGGATGGGCTTCCAGCACTTAGTATTAGAAAAATAGTCCGGCGGACTAGAAATTTTTATTTTTATTTTATTTTTTACATGTTGGACATTTTTTTTTAACATTAATGTTTAATTTTTTGTAAAGTAAAAATCATTATTTTATTTATTTTATTTTTTCCTGAAAATTTTTTATTTTATTTTTATTTTTTTAAATTTTTTTACATGTTGGGCATTTTTTTTAAAGCATTAATGTTTAATGTTTTTGTATTTTTTTTATTTGTTTTATTATTTTATATAAAAATAATTTAACAATCTCTACACTAACAACTATCATCAAAACAAATATAATTTTACTTAATCCCCTCACTAACAATCATCTCACTATTAATTTCCTCACTATCAATTTTATTCATTCTACTTCTGAAAACAAACGGACCTTAAGTCAATGGAATTGCTCCAACCCTCTCATACGAGAGATTAGAGTTCAAATTTTGCCAAAAATGAAGTTATACAGACTTCTTTAATTCCTAATGTTTCCACCCTCTTTTACCTTGTTCCTCACATATTATTAAAAAAATTATGGGCCAGTTTGGCAAGAAACTTTTTACTTTTTTTTACTAAAATTTATAAAAAAATAAAATATGTTAAAATAATTAATAAAACAAAATGTATCATCAAACCTATAATCATTTCACTTTTTTCCTCACAAATATCACATCCAATTACAAAAAAAAAAATCTAATCATCTTCCCAAACACAAAAAAATTACAAAAATGCTAGACCCCAAAAATTCTATCGTATGTCTCATATGAGTGTAGGACCCACATTGTCTATAGATTCAGCAGCAGTTCAAAAGGTTGACCTATTCAGGAATCTCCGGATTTATGCTTATTTTCAACTCCGCGAAGCATTTCGTTGCTTACTACGCCATTCCTCGTCTCTGGGTGCCTAGGTATCCACCGTAAGCCTTTCCTTGTTTGAACCTCATCCTCAACTTTAAGGGTATGCCATCGTAAGGTAAGACATTTGATAAAAATTTTGAAAAAACTTTTAGATTCTCTAGTATTATTCAAAAATTTGACCTACTAAAATAGTCAAAAATTAAAATAGCCTACTAAAATAGTCAACTTTTCAAACGATACCATATATATATATATATATATAAATAAAAATAAAAATAAAAACTTAAATTTGAAGTCAAAATTTTTCTTATCTTTCACGATTTCTCTCTCCTCACAAATCTCTACATATATGGGATATTGAAAAACAGCAATCAAGCAATGCAAAATTATAGTATCATCTTAAGAAAACCACCCTGAAGCTTAAGTCAAGTAATATCACAAGTAAGCATGCAGACAAAATAAAATCTCAATGGAAAGACATTTTTGAGAATTTCCATGTAAGGTTAGTGTACAATTGAACATTATTACACATGCTTTTGTACATATTTTTGGATTTACAATTCAGTTCTTGAGGTCTTTGCTCTTCATCTTCTAGGTATGTTATAACAATTACCATTTTAGTGGCAGTCCATTAATAAATTCCCGGGCTCTGCAGCAAAATCTTTAATAAGAAGCCGTCAGTCAAAGCATGCTCTACAGAATTCTCCACATATTTTCCCAGTCGAAACGTATCAAGATTCTTGATCACTTTAGTACTTCACCTAGAAAGAGAACATGCATCAAACTAATTTGCAAATAATTTTATATTTCCTAATCTATTTTATTAATTCATCTGAAAGTAAATGGCAAACCATGAAAACATCCAAGATTATGATGGTGTTTGGGAAGTGAATTTTTATGTAGATTTTTTTAGATGTAGGATATTATTGAAGAAAATTTTTTTTGTGTTTGGAAAGATAGTTAGATTTTTTTGTGGCTAGATGTGATGTTTGTGAGAGAAAAAACGAAATGATTATGGGGTTGGATGTGATATTTTGTTTGGATGTATTTTTTTAGTTTTGCAAAATTTTTGTCTTTTAGTGAAAAAAAAATGAGAAAAAAGCCAACTCAAATTCTTCCCAAACACCACGTATGTATACTTACCAAAGTATATTGACACTGTCAGATAAATGTTAACTTCTGTAATGAATAAAGGAGAAGATCATCTGGATCTAATAAACCGAGATGCTGTTGCTTTGGTGTGGTGACGTTGTTCCTTCCCGTTGGACAAACCACTGTCACTAACACTCCCTCTGATAAGGTCATCATTATCCACTTCAGAAAATTCCTTTGCCCGGGAATTCAAAGGGATAAGATAACTATCATCCTTAGAGTTCTTTCTTTGCTCCTCCAACCATTTGACATTTTCAGATATCTGATGAAAAGTTTTGTTTATTTTTGCAATTCCCCTTTCAACGGGTTCCACAACATGGGAAACCGTGAACTTCATGTCATCAACAATCTAGACACATCCGAGAAGCCACACACAAACATAGCAGAAACTGATCAGAACTGAGCTAGAAATTTGTTAATCAGTAACTAAGAGAGCAAAGTTTAGTATTCTCACTATTTCACCACTTCCAACGACCACATCACGAACACTCTGGGGGAAACTCAGCCGCTCTTCTCTCTCATTGTGATGAGCAAGGTTTATTCTAGTAGATCGTTCAGAGTCTTGAATCTCCTCTGGATCGAGAGGTGATCCTAAGGATGCATAGTCAGTCATCACGGCCACATTACGCGCACATCTTTCTCCACGCTTGTAAGGTACTGCTGGAAAAACATAAAAGTGGACCACTGCAGCAACACCCATCTGTTTGACATAGTTTATCATCATAATCCTCCAAAACAATAACCTCCGAAGGAAGGAACCTATATCTCAATATGCATACCAATGAGAGATCCCACTCAAAAGGAGTGGGAAAAAACAGAAAACAAATAACCAAAAATGAAAAACAAGACAAAAAAGTAAATAAAGGCATTATATTAAGAAGGCTAACTTCATGCATCATGCACTATTTAACTTATTATTTACACCTACAGATTGTCAAATTAATTGACCCTTAACAGACCAAAAAAATTAAAATTAAAATTATGCTATTGTCTCAGTATTTGGAGTATAACAATTTAGTACATGGCAGGGAAGTGAAGTAAATCTTACAACTCAGGTTGGAAACATAGTGTTTCGCCTGTTGTAGTTTGGTGTGTATAGCTTATATCCCTATTGTTTGTAAATTATGCTTGGCAAGGAAGCAGGGGAATGCCTTAGGTTTAGACAGGAGTTCAGCTGATTGTACAATTAGTCCAGCTGAAGCTCCAATTTTAACAACGGAAGGCCAGAAAATTATTAATAAGCCTTAAGGTAAATAGGAAGTTCACATAATACTCATGTCTATTAGTTTTAGGAAAAACAAATTATTAACAAGTCTTCAAAAACAGAGGAACACCAATTTGGTATTCTCCCTTTCTATTTTAGTATAGAAATATAAATACACACAAATAACACCAATCCAAGCAATGAACAAAATTTCACAAATAGAATCAGCTCACTACACACCTCAATACAGATGATATAGTCTTGTATCCGTGTTTTCAACTCCTGTGCCAAAGCCCCTCTGAAGGCTCCCATTGAAAAAAGAAATGCAACAGCCACACCTTGCCACCATGTCAAGAATATAATCGATTTGAATGTCAAAAATTTGGCCAGAGGTTTAATCGGCGCCAACTTATTTTTGGTGACTGAATAGAACTGTACAAGGCAATATAACGCCCAGGTCTGACTAAAATTAATAACAACCGCCAAGTATGGATACCTGCAACCAGATTACAGAGTTTCAGTTCATAAGTTCGGTGAAAGTATATTAGTCCACTAAATTTAAAAATTCTATTGTTCCAGGCATATAACAAGATAGCGAATAGAACAAAGAGTACTTTGAAATATAGTGACTAGCTTGATCTTCCATTCAAACTGGACAATGCCATAATAAAGAAGTAGAGCAGTGGAAAGAGTAGAAGACTGTAGGGTCTATAAGCTTTAATATCTTGAAAAAAACAAAATGACAAGATAATTAAGGATGTCTTACGCATATCTCCACTCAAATTTCCCTTCACCATAAACCCCAAAGAATTCAAAGACCATAGCTAGCAGAGCACAGATCAACTTCAGTATCATCTGGAAACAAATGTCTTGGTAAATAACCTAAACTATTGCCAACCAAAACAAAAACCAAAAAAAAAAAAAAAAAAAACCCTAAAACATTTGTCAAATTTGGGGAAAGAAAAGATACACTGAGGGGTCTAAGATATAAAAGAGTACATACATATTGAACAATGCCAACTTTAACAGCTTGATAGAAGTCGGATCCAAGATGCCAGTCCCTTAGGAAACAATTTAGTGGGAAAGGATGTTCTACTACTCCGTAAGCATAAGCTTCTTCCAAAAGAGGTATGCTGGAAGAAGAAAGGCTTTGACGTTCCATGAATTCAATTGTATTTTCCTCACCGCCTTTAAGTAGAATACATTTGTCAAAACATAGCCGAAGTTCCATCAAGGGTACCATAAAATTTCAGACAATTAGCAAATAACTACTATGAGTAAACAAATTTCAAGCTAAACAAGCTAAATGTAAGGCCGGCAAGGTTCCAAGAATGATACACATAATCACTTTTGTTGTTGATAATTTGACCATCATACCTCAAGAGATGTTTCTATTTTGCTTTTCATGCATGACAGGTGCTTAATGTATCATTTGTGCGAACAATTATATACAATAGATGCTATAAATACTGGTGTAGTAAACATTCACATAAGTTGCGGTCAAAAATCACCCTGAAGAAGTAATGTAGAGCACATAAAGTAATAGGCATTTAAGGAATCCCCTATGTGTTTTCTCACAAACAAGGATCCTAAAGAATTCCAATTAGACAAGCAACATAAACCAATTTGAATGGGTCACACCCACAATCAGATGCTTCTCACCAAGTATACAGCATAAAGCATATTTAGGTAACTGAACAGGTGATTTTAGACCATATTTTCCCATAAACATAATATTTTTAACAATAATAGTTCACCTAAAACGCAATGCAACAAGGATATATAATAGCAATAATCCATGTGATGCACCAGACTTGTACAAATAATCTATATGTAAAATACTTTCCATGTAATTTGATTGAATATATTTAATAAAAATCAAGTGTTCACCCACCTCGTTGGTCACTTTATTTTCCTGTTTTTCAAATGAAGTATCACTCCATAGTATGCACAAAATCGGTAAACAAAATCTATTCAAAATTTATGCTTCAATGTGTTTCTAAGCGTCTTGACACCAAAAAAACAAAAAAGAAGTACAAAGAAACCATTGATTGGATGAATTTGTTTCTCTAGGCACGTGTTAGAGGGGTAACTTCTTTAATCAAAGACCTAATTTAGTTTTTTTTCCTAAGAATATTCTTCACTTGGGGGAGCTTTTGACTTTTATTGTAACCAACTAAGAAATTATTATTGCTATATTATTATTTTGGCATTCTTATGTTTTCTTTTAAATTTAAAATTCAAAAAATTAGAATATTTCATTTACCACATGACATTCAAAGAGGCCATAACACTCTCCTAAACTACATAATAGAGATAGACGTCTGCATGCAAAAAATGCAAAAGTTTAATGAAGTTGAACCTACAAAGGTGTTCTTTGTTTCCCAAGCCACACCTTGCCTATGAAGATCTGATTTCCCAGGTATCCTCTAGACACTGACTAAACTGCTTCACTTTGTGCATTTATATATAACCTGTGTTGGAAATTTCTCCTTAGTCTACAATTACTCTATTGCTTATCCACAAGAGGGGTGGCACAATATATAACCAGTATTCATCCCCAGTGTAAACACTAATCAATACTCAAATGGAAACAAACTCAAGGAACCTCATTAAGAAGATACAACATTGAACTTGAGGCCATTTCATTGCTCTGAACTTACAATTTCCCTATCCATTGCACCAAGCCACCAACTGATAGTCTCCAAAACAAAACCAATATGACTTTCTTATGCAAGTTAAAGCAATGTCATTCAACTAATCAACTGTACCTTATGAATAGGTGTTTACACCAGTGATAACTAACACCAAAGTATATTATACATATATCTATACAATAAAAATCACGTCAATTGGCAAAGGTTTTAAGAACTGCTGTATACATACCAAAAGTACAATTCTTTTATTATGCACATACATACATAAACCCATATAATAAAAAAAAGGTTTCCCAGTGAGGTTTATTTATCCAGAACAAAGTATTCTTCTCAACACATGAATAAAATTTGGAGATAGATGGGATCCACTAAGGATTTCATATTTTGAATCCTCCACATATAAAGTTCTATACAGATGGCTATCACTAAAGATAAAGCAAGGATATTAGGTCTTCCAATGTACCTAAGCAAGCTATCAGATATCTCTCAAAGCAATATAATGCAAAAGCTTCATAACAGTCTCGGATTATTTCACAGTTGAATGCGACATTTGAATTCAACAGTGACAAAAACTGCCAAAAAGGGGGAAAAAACGAAGTGTTAGAAATCAACAATAGAATGAGTTGCTCACAATTACTAGAAATAACAAGAAAAACATGTGTGGTATATATGTGAACAGCCAAGTTAAAAGCACAACACCTAGTACGAATCTGACATGTTTGGCTCGCATCACACCCAGCAAGAATGTCGCGTATTCCAAGCCTACTTTATCGTGAACTTAAAACTAACTAATGTGTTCCTTTCTATCACATACATGGATGCTACAAATAAATGTACCTGTGCTGAAAACTCCTTAAAAAATTTTAAAAAATAAAAAAATAAAAAAAATAAAGCCGACCCACTAAACGAGGATAAGCTAAAGCGGGTCTAGGGATAGCAAGATGTACACAGCTTTACCCAAATTCTTGGGGAGACAGTTTTTGTGACTTGAACGCATGCCACCAAGGACACCGGGAAGGGCATGATGTACATAGCCTTACTTCCATTTCCCGAGAAGCTGTTTTTGTGACTCGAACCTATGCCACCAAGGACACTAACGGCAAGCCTTATTAGTAGGCCAAGCCACCCTTTTGCTGACAACTCTGTAAAACACCATTTTCCCGAAGAATATAAAACAAGAAATCAGCACTTAGCCACGCCTTGATGTACTTGGATTTGCAGTGATATCATGACGAATCCATGTCTCTTACAGCTTTAATAGCTGGAAAATCATAGAAGATTGTCGGCTACAGATTTCTCTTTGTTGCATACTAGCACTGAATGACTTCGATAGAAGCTAAAAGGGAAAATTGCTTTTAGAAGGGGAGAGAATCTAGAAAGAAGAATGGGTATAGATGTAAGTCGTCTCCGTCTTTTTTGTTTTTGTTTTTGTTTTTTTTTTAAATGGTAAAGGAATAAAAAAAAAAAGAAAAAAAGAAAGGTGATACTCAAATCGGTAGAGAATAGTAAAATAAAAAGAAACGAAAAGAGGGAGACAAAACCCATGTGATAAAGTGGAGAGAAGGGGAGAGAATCTAGAAAGAAGAATGGGTATAGATGTAATAAAGGAATGAAAATAAAGAAATAAATAAAGAAAGAAAGAAATAAAGAAGAATGTGTGTGTTGTTATTTTTTAAAACCATGTTGTGTGTCCCCTCCGAGAGAGAGAAGAGGATGATGGTCTGTGCAATAGATTAAAATAAACATAGATATATATATATATATTAAAATAAGAGAAAGTTGAGTGGGGTTGTGCTGCGGGTGCAGATGCTGCAGAAAATAAACATAGATATATATATATATATATATTAAAATAAGAGAAAGTTGGGGAGAGATGGGTAAACAGTGAATCCAAGCTTCGATGTCGTTCCGTAATCAACAGAAAGCCTTTCAAGAAGCAGAGATAAGGCCAGACCCAGTCGCGGAATCCCGGCGAGAACTCCGGCAAGGCAGGGAGGTTCAAATCGAAATCACGGTGGCTGACGGTGGAACCCGCACCTTCCGACGAGGTGTCACCGCCGCTGTTTAATCGGACGGAGGCAGAGAAGTTTGAGAGGCTGAAAGAGATAGTGCGGCCATAGTAGACATCGCTAGGGTTTCCAAGGAGTCCTACCCTCACGTGTACCTTGTGCTCGATAACACTCTCCCTCCTCGCCATTCCTCCTGTTTTTGAATCCATTGGTGGGATGCTTGGAACCTGACCCTGTGAAGACAACAAAACAGGGTGTTGCTGTTTTGGCACTTGAACATGTGCTTGTGGCTGAGCTTGCAGATGATGTTGTGGCTGCAGTTGTGGAAGAGGGTAATTCAAGGTGATGAATAAGACGAGGACGAGGGCTACTAAGAGAGTGACTTGGAAGAGGAGTTTAGAGGAAACTGCTAAGAGCTTTGTGTTGTTTACTCTTCTCATGTAGTAATTGAGAGAGAGAGATAGAGCTTAGAGTTCTCTTCTTGCAGAGTTACGGCTGTGGAGAGTGGAAGGTATGTGTAGAAAATTCCAGCGGGCAGCAAAGGCAAAGTTGCCGGCCGACTGCCCGCCGGTGAGAAAAAAATACAGGTTTAAATCTTATAGCTCTGATACCATGTTAAAAAATGATGTATTATTAATTGATTTGTATTGTTATGGTTACAATGATTCCTATATATAGGAGAGGGTGAGTGTGTAGTAGGTGAGGAGTAGGTGAGGAGTAGGTGGAGAATAGGTGAAGTGGGTGGAGTAGGTGTAGTGGTAGGTTTTGGTACATTTTAACAAAAACCAATATGACTTTCTTATGCAAGTTAAAGCAATGTCATTCAACTAATCAACTGTACCTTATGAATAGGTGTTTACACCAGTGATAACTAACACCAAAGTATATTATACATATATCTATACAATAAAAATCACGTCAATTGGCAAAGGTTTTAAGAACTGCTGTATACATACCAAAAGTACAATTCTTTTATTATGCACATACATACATAAACCCATATAATAAAAAAAAGGTTTCCCAGTGAGGTTTATTTATCCAGAACAAAGTATTCTTCTCAACACATGAATAAAATTTGGAGATAGATGGGATCCATTAAGGATTTCATATTTTGAATCTTCCACATATGAAGTTCTATACAGATGGCTATCACTAAAGATAAAGCAAGGATATTAGGTCTTCCAATGTACCTAAGCAAGCTATCAGATATCTCTCAAAGCAATATAATGCAAAAGCTTCATAACAGTCTCGGATTATTTCACAGTTGAATGCGACATTTGAATTCAACAGTGACAAAAACTGCCAAAAAGGGGGAAAAAACGAAGTGTTAGAAATCAACAATAGAATGAGTTGCTCACAATTACTAGAAATAACAAGAAAAACATGTGTGGTATATATGTGAACAGCCAAGTTAAAAGCACAACACCTAGTACGAATCTGACATGTTTGGCTCGCATCACACCCAGCAAGAATGTCGCGTATTCCAAGCCTACTTTATCGTGAACTTAAAACTAACTAATGTGTTCCTTTCTATCACATACATGGATGCTACAAATAAATGTACCTGTGCTGAAAACTCCTTAAAAAATTTTAAAAAATAAAAAAATAAAAAAAATAAAGCCGACCCACTAAACGAGGATAAGCTAAAGCAGGTCTAGGGATAGCAAGATGTACACAGCTTTACCCAAATTCTTGGGGAGACAGTTTTTGTGACTTGAACGCATGCCACCAAGGACACCGGGAAGGGCATGATGTACATAGCCTTACTTCCATTTCCCGAGAAGCTGTTTTTGTGACTCGAACCTATGCCACCAAGGACACTAACGGCAAGCCTTATTAGTAGGCCAAGCCACCCTTTTGCTGACAACTCTGTAAAACACCATTTTCCCGAAGAATATAAAACAAGAAATCAGCACTTAGCCACGCCTTGATGTACTTGGATTTGCAGTGATATCATGACGAATCCATGTCTCTTACAGCTTTAATAGCTGGAAAATCATAGAAGATTGTCGGCTACAGATTTCTCTTTGTTGCATGCTAGCACTGAATGACTTCGATAGAAGCTAAAAGGGAAAATTGCTTTTAAGTGGGAACAACTCAAAGTAATTGCACTTTCACGGAGGTGAAGTTGGAGCAAGGGCGAGCTGAGTCCTATGCCACACTTTTACTTGCACCGGACACAGGCTTACTTGCACATCCATAAAAATGTAATTTATTTTGAGTTGTTCTCATTTAAATGCAATTTTCCCAAGCTAAAAATCGTTCATAGAATTGATAGATTGATGGAAAACAGAAGAATAAAAATAATACAGGCAGTTTTCTCCATACCGATTCTAGTGCATAAACAGGAACCATCAGAATGAGTCCAATTAAGAATTTCTGCTCCTGAAATCAAATATCAACCTCAAAGCAACCAATTCCAGATAATAAGGAATAACAAAATATAATGATCATAGTTATGAAGAAGCCACTGACCAAGCTACCAAAGATGAAAAACAGAAGTTAAGCATGTTTATGAAAAAGTCTAGTATAGTATAATCAGGAAATAAAGAAAGTTCATAGCACCAAAGTCCTGAAGCAAGCAGAAAAAGCAAACTTCAGATAATTATAAGGAATGCAAGAACGAACCTCAGGCTTATAGTAAGCTGCTAAATGCTCAAAGATAAGATACATGGATAGAACAAGAGCAACAAGTACGAATATGCCTGCGCTGCAGATTGTCCAGCTGTAGAGCAAAGTTGACCCAGCACCCAGATTAATTAACCACATTTTGCTGGATCTGCCTGACGACTCTGCCAGAGTGAGAAGGAAAAATAATGAAAATAAAACCTCCTTCCAACTCATCAGCAGAATTCTATGTTTGACTTTACTGAATTTTTAATGAACGGGACATGTTTGATAGAAGGCATGCAGCACTTGATCCACGCTTTGTGTCAATAAAACATCTAGAAGAGTTGCCATGCTTTTACAATTCCATCTACACCCTTCAATTTGGTTGGAATCTACAGAACTGCCTATCTTTCCAAAGCATGATATTGTGACTGACAAAAGCCTGCTCAATTGCCTGGCACAAAAAGACCCTGAGAATTTTGTGAATTACCACATAAATATACTGCAGATGTAAGGACTGACAGCTTGATACGGAAAAGGAATGAAAAAAGCTTGAAGGGGCAGCACCAGAAATCCTGCCCCAGACATGGAAAAGAAGTCCACAGACCATTATACAAAACCACATATTTGATTGAAAAAAACATTATTAAACTGAACATACCGCAACTTCTAAACAATGGAATTACACTAGTTACAAAAGTTTAACAATAAAACTCACAGAAGAGAAATATACCATTCATGATCTAAAGGAAAAGTCGCATACAAAACAAAGTCGCTCACTTGCAAAGGATACTTTCCACACAAACCCCAGTAGTGTTGGAATCTACCTGGGCTATTAGGTATCTATCGCATGGATTTTTGCTTCCATAATCTCGCTCAAAATATTTTGTAGATTCTAAGTCAAACACAGTTAACATTGGTGAAATCAAATTTCACAAGTTTTCTCAATTGCAGCTTTCATGCCTTACCGTCTCAAGAATATAGCATCAACAATTTAATTTTCAAAATAATCATAACAACATAGATCTAACCACAGTTGTGAAGATGAGAGACTGGCTTCTAAGTTCTAACGATGAGCCCTAATGTAACACAAATCTAGTCTCAAAATGATTTAAATTTAGTGTTTTTTTCATGTTACATTAGTGTTAAATTTCATTAATTTTGGTCGTCAATGAATGTAATATTTGTATCCATAGCAAATAAAAACATATACAATTTTTTTTTTTTTTTGTATCTATATCCTGATTTATTTTTTTTTAAAATCGCCATGTCCCATATCTGTGCCTCATAGTGCATCGGTTACAAGATACTCCTAAGCCCATACTTCCATATTCATATTGGGTTTACATTTTGTCAGGCTACCTAACACACAACACTAAGTAATTGAGAGAGAGAGAGAGAGAAACCCGGCGGCAACCATGGGATAGCGACGAAGGAGGCCAGAGGCCGGCGGCAACCAGCGCGGCGACTAGCAACCAGCGATTGACGGTCTGTGTCCATACATCAACGGTATTTCCGGCGAGTTCTCCATTCGTTGGTTCAGAGAGAAAGAGAGAAACCCAAGATTGAGAGCTAGGGTTTTGGAGGTAGGCTTTAGGGTTTTGGAGGATGAAGATGCAGCAGCAGAAGCCAGTGCATGTTACAGGTTTCAAATCTTTCCATTGTTGTTGATTTATCCTTGATGGCTATTGGGTTGTGATTCCTCCCTATTTTCCCCAATCTGTTTGCTAAAATGGGTAAGAAATTAAGAAACAAAAGGGGCAGCTCATCCAAAATCCTTCTTATAGAATTCCATTCTAGCTTGGTGAAAAAGAAATTGGGCCCTAATAGTTCAAATCAAGCCAATGATAAAAACCAAAATAATATAAACTATATGCAAAGGCAATTAGAACTTTAGTTTGAACATGATGATTTTGACATTGAAGAGACTTATTGTGATGGATATTGAGACAGCAACAAAGGGAAGTACCCTAACCACAAATGTGCAGGACTACAATGAGGCAAAAGGGGATGCTCGGGTTCGAATGGCATGTGTAGCAGGTTTGGTAGATGTGGCTTCTGTGGACTCTTAAACTGAAGCAAAAATGGTCCAAAGCCATAGTTCCAACGGATTGGATAAGTCTTCTTCCCATAATGTTATCTCTACGCCTTGGAGTGGTTTATTTAAATCTGATATTGCTAAGAAAAAAGTAGTTAAAAGTCTCAAGAGATACTCGATGGGTTATGAGAACAATCAACTTCAAATCCCATTGGAAATCTCTAAAATTGGGTTTAAGCAATGGGAACATGCTCTTGTGGGTTATTTTATTGATAGAAAATTGTCTTTCTTCCAAGTGAAGACTTGGGCCTACAAATTGTGGAAGGAAAATCTTGAAGAGATTGTAACCTTAGATAATGGCTACTTTGTATTCAAGATTAAAAATGAAGAAGCTTTAAAGTCCATTCTTGATGGGGCCTTATTATATTGGGAGCAAATTGATTGTTATCAAGAAATGGCACCCTGGTATGACCCCTACTAAAAATGTCTTTTCAAGTATACCGATATGGGTGAAATTTTTCAATGTACCGCTTGAACTTTGGACTGAGGAGGGATTGAGTTACATAGCAAGTTTTATCGGTAATCCGTTGCACCTTGATGAGTTTACTCAAAAACCATAGCCGGTTAACATTTACTAGAATTTGTATTGAGATAGAAGCTACTAAGGAAATTCCACCCACCTTTGTTGTAAACTTAGGATATAGAGAACTGTTCAAAATCAAAGTGGAAGTTTCTTGGAAACCCCACATGTGTGGAGAATGCAAAATATTTGGTCATGCTACAAGTTTGTATCCAAGTAAATCGAAAACTCAAGCTCCTAGTAAACTCAAACAAGAGCGAAAGGCCAAAGTAGCCGAGATGAAGGAGGGAGGCAAGCCAAATGAATGGGTTGAAGTGAAAAAGAAAAAGGCAAGGACGTCGTTGATGCTCCTATGGTTAACTTTGATCCTACACCTCCTCCATCTTCATCGAATGCGTTTGATATTCTCAATACTTGTGTAGCCAATGAGGAGGTTTCTTTTTGTGCGGATCTTAAGAGTGTGCTTAATGCAAATGAAGATATTCTGAATGTAGAGGCTTCAAAGGAAGAGAAAGAAATTGTAGGGGATGTGAGTAATATAAATGGGTTAGCCACTAGACGATCTTCACATCCTAAAGGAGCTCCTCAATCCCTTTCAGATGGAACATTCGTCGTTCCATGGACAAACCCATCTTCAAAAGTAGAAAACAAGAAAAAGCTTCTTGAGAGAATCGCCAATCTTAAACTTGCTCAAGAGGTTAGCCTCTCTATCAAGTCCAAGAAATCAAGTTGTAAGACTCCTATGAAATCGTAAGTGTGTCCATTAATTATTGCTTGGCCTAGCTTTGGTTTCTCCTTGTATATTAATCTACTTGTTAGATTTTGTGTAGAAGCTAGGCTTGTTTTCTTCCCTCCTCGAAAGGTGTGTTGCCTCTGGGCGTGTAATGAGACTCAAGCCTCACTGTAATATCTATTTTTTGGTATATAACTTATGACTTACCTACCCAGAAAATTGTGTTGGTACAAAAAAAAAAAAAAAAAACGCACACACAAAACTCCTCCTTATCCTGGCCTAGGAGCGGTAGTGTTTAAAATATGGTATTAAAAATCTTTAATCAATTGAGCAGTGATGATGAGATAACGGCATGGCATAGTTAAAGTGCATCAAAGAATCAATATGAAAAACTAAAATACAATAATCTTAAGCAATGACATAATTTCAGCATAAAAGTTCATTCCAAACTGCTCAGGGACCAATCTACCGGCTAACAGTCATACACATACACGTCTATACAAACAGAGCTATTCTAACTCTGGAAACTCCAGTTAATCTCCAAATCGCAGCATTACCAAACAAGAAAATATATTAGAAAAGACGCAAATTCCCAAAAGCATAAAGGCAGAAAACGCTACAAAACCCTAGAAAATCAAAGCATGCATTTGCTTGCCCCAAAGCGATCATACAATTCGATATTAGTTGAAAAACAACAAAATTTCATATGCGAGAGAAGTTGTCGAACAAAAAATTGAGGAGGTGTCTAACCTGAGAAAATTTTCCGGGAAAATCGAGAGAGAAAATTTTCAATCCAACTATAATCGCCGCGAACGAAAGTCTTACGTTGCAGAGAAAATATATGCACACATCCATATATGCGTGTGCATTTTGCTTCGGCGGTTGTGATTTTCGCACTTGTCTGTGATTTTTTATTGTCACGATAAAATTGTTGAGGTTTGGGTCCCACAGTGGAAGAAGGTGTAATGACCATGTAATCATAGGACTGTGAGCATCGTGGAGACGATTAACCCGTTATTTTATATTTTCTTACTAAAATTTTGATAGGAAAATGATCAAAATTTCCACGTAAGCATGTGTACGTGGCGATTAGGTTACGTTCTTATGAGATAGTCCACGTCATATTGATGGAGATGGGAGTTCCTATCCTGAAAATTATACAGTGTTTTAGGGGCAAATACTTTGGGGTGAGCCCAAGGTTACAGGTTCAATTCCAATCTCTCTTGGGCCAATCTCCTGGGCAAAACACAGTTGGTTAGGAAGTTGGACCTCAAGTTGTCTAATCAGCATTTAGTGTGGGTTCAATCCTCCCCCGCTGTGCGAGTCTTGACTTAAGCGGAGCTTGTCTTGAAAGGTCGGGGCAAGTTCCTAGGTTATAGTCTCCTCGTTCAAAACGGCTAACAGGATACCTTGGTGATTTCTGCAAGGGACGCTGTCTTAGACCTGCGGGAGGATAAGGAGGATTTTCCCTGTAACAAAAAAAAAAATCATGGAATTAGTATTTTTGCTGATTTTTTAAGATAATTAAATAAGTGCCACCCCATAAGAATCATGATCTAGACATCTTATAATGGAGCTCTAATCTGAACTCCACTAACGTGGTAGAAGGGAAATATATATATATATATATATGCATCACATTATTAGTGGGTGTGAATCACTATCAGCTCATTAAAACTATGATTAGAACTCTATAATTACAGCTCTAAAACATTTTCCACCCATAAATAGTGTGAAGCATTCTCTAAAATGATATAAGGCCTAAAATGTAATTAAGGTCTTGTTTGGAGTCTAAATATTTTAGTTAAAA